GGACTCTATGTCCAGGACGAGACACCCACAAGCACCACACAAACTGCCCAGGGCCACAACACGAATGAGTGAATGGAGCACAGAGTGGGTGAGGAAACAGTCCAGGAAAGGCAAACACAAGCCTGGACACAGACACCAGAACAAATACTTGACAAGGAGATGGAAGCTGGGAGTTCCCAGGGGGACACAGCTGGAGAGAGACAGATGCCCACAGTCTGGCAGGGAGATGGTGGTGATAATGGACAACATGCAGTCACCAATACATTGGCCCATGTGGCCACACATGATCTTTACCCCTGACAGTCAGCATGGCCGATGTCCTCTCCTGCCCGCACACACATGAGTACTCCCCGGCATCCTCCATGGCCACCCCACGGATCTCCAGCTCACACATGTTTCCGTCCTGCCTCAGGCTGACTCTGTCCCCAGCTCTGAGGGTCTCGGACCCCTTTCTCCACTCCACAGGGGCCACCTTGCTCAGCCTGCAGCACAGCTTGGCTGTGCCCCCTTCTGTGGCCTCTTCCTTCCTCAGGCTCTTTGTGAACTTGGTGGGCACAGCTGGGGATGGTCAGAAAGACACAGACACAATCATAGTCTCTGACCACTTAGACGAGACAGGACATTAGCAGCACAGAGACCATACAAACAAAACTCGATGTGGGCCACAAGCTGGGTGTGCTTGTGGGTTGTAGCTTGTGGGTTGTGGCTTCCCTCAGACTGGCTTATGTAAATTGTGGCCATGGCCTCTTTGGTGGCTCCTGTAGCCTCATACTTTGTATGACTCTGTCTAGCCCAGCTGGGGAGTCAGACACAAAATGGAGCATTGTTGAGGGCAGGACACGATACCACAGAGGACAACACAGACTCCCACAGGACAACAGGATGAGATGTGACCAAGGAGTATATGTGGCTGGAATTCTGGCTTCTCATGGTTCACACAACAACCCAGGAAGGGGAGATATTCCACAGAGTAATGGGTATAGGGTGACCCCGGAAAATGTGAAAAAGAATGTGAACAAGGAATGAGAGCACATGGACATCACAAAGTAAACTGGACACCAGATCACAGTTCTGCTTGGCCACACACGGTCTTTACCCTGGATGGTCAAAGTGGCTGATGTCCTTTCCTGCCCGCACACACACGAGTACTCCCCAGCATCTTCCACAGCCAGGCCACAGATCTCCAGCTCACATGCTGTCCCATCCTGCCTCAGGCTGACTCTGGCCCCAGCTCTGAGGGTCTCAGAGCCCTTCGTCCACTCCACAGGGACCACCTTGCTCAGCTCACAGCGCAGCATGGCTGTGGCCCCTTCTGTGGCCTCTTCATTCCTCAGGCTCTTTGTGAACTTGGCAGGCACAGCTGGGGATGGTCAGAAAGACACAGACACAATCATGGTCGCTGAACACATGGATAAGACAAGACACTAACAGCACAGAAAAGACACAAACCAAACTAGACATGCGCCATGTGCTTGCTGGGTGTGCCAAGCACACACTGTGGGTTGTGGCTTCCCTCAGACCGGCTTATATACAGCGTGGACGTGGCCTCTTTGACGGTTCATCAAGCCTCATACTTTGTATGACTCTGGCTAGCATGGCTGGAGAGTCGGACACAGAATGGAGAATTGTTGAGGGCAGGACACAGTAGCACAGAGGACAAGACAGACTCCCAGGGACAACAGAACTAGCAGGGACTGAGAGGTCAAAAGTGGCTTGGATGCTGACTTCTCCTGGTTCATACAACCACCCAGGGAAGGGGAGACATTTCACGAAGTAACAGTGGAGGGTGACATCAGAGAATGTGGGAGAGAAAGAACGTGAACATGGAATGAGTGCACATGGACATCTCGAGTCACTTGGACACTAGATCACAGCTCTGCTTGGCCACACACAGTCTTTACCCCTGACGGTCACCGCGGCTGACGTTCTCTCCTGCCCGCACACACACGAGTACTCCCCGGCATCTGCCACGGCCAGGTCACGGATCTCCAGCTCACACACCGTCCCATCCTGTCTCAGGCTCACTCTGTCCCCGGCTCTGAGGGTCTCAGACCCCTTCTTCCACTCCACGGGGACCGCCTTGCTCAGCTCACAGCGCAGCGTGGCCGTGGCCCCTTCCGTGGCCTCTTCCTTCCTCAGGCTCTTTGTGAACTTGGCGGGCAGGGCTGGGGAGAGCCAAGGATCAGGAGGACTCCAGGCTGTCTCGAGGACTCTATGTCCAGGACGAGACACCCACAAGCACCACACAAACTGCCCAGGGCCACAACA